AAAAAAAAAAAAAAAAAAAAAATGGCCATTCAGTCACTCTTAGCCCTCACACTCACTGCACTACTAACACTATTTGCACCAGCAGCTCTGGCCCAAAACTGCGGCTGCCAAGAGGGTTTTTGCTGCAGCCGCTGGGGGTACTGTGGCCAGGGCAACGACTATTGCGGGCAGGGCTGCCAGTCGGGCCCGTGCAACGTGAGCCCTTCCAACGGCGGGTCGGTGTCTGATATCGTGACTGATGCCTTCTTTAATGGGATTGCCGGTCAAGCTGACGGCAGCTGTGCAGGCAACGGGTTCTACACACGGGCCGCGTTTCTCGAGGCACTCGGATCGTATCCTCAGTTTGGGACCGTTGGATCGCCTGAAGACTCCAGGCGTGAGATCGCGGCCTTCTTCGCGCACGTCACGCATGAGACCGGCCGTAAGTTTATTTATATAAAACACATAATAAAAAATATTTCGGACTGGCCATGTCAAACTTGTAGTAGATGCACTTTAATACAAATGCGTGTGGTCCTTAACGTGGCCGCGTGCAAGGAACCAAACTCGTAACATGTCAATTTTTATTAAATACTAGATTTCCTTCATTTCATAATAATAATAATAAGTAAAATTATTTTTACATTTTTTCTAAATTTAAATATATATATTCGTTTAATTATTTAATTATAATATACAGATTTCTGCTACATCGAGGAGATCAACGGCGCATCTAGAGACTATTGCGACGAGACTAACACACAGTATCCGTGCGCCTCCGGTAGGGCCTACTTTGGTCGTGGGCCAATTCAACTGTCGTGGAATTTCAACTACGGCCCAGCAGGCAACAGCATTGGCTTCGATGGGTTGAACAATCCCGAGATTGTGGCCACTGACCCAGTTATATCGTTCAGGACAGCCTTATGGTATTGGATGAACCATTGTCACGACCCAATTATTTCAGGAGAAGGATTTGGGGCTACTATTCGTGCCATTAATGGGCCGATTGAGTGCGATGGGGGAAACCCCGACACCGTGAGCTCGCGCGTTCGGTACTATACACAGTACTGTGATCAACTTCAAGTTGATCCCGGTAACAATCTAAGGTGCTAGAGAAAAAAAAAAAAAAAAAAAGAGAATATGCTTGACTAATTAAATAAAAGACTTTTTACACTTGTGGAAATAATTGATGTAGCATACATTTGTTCATCATGTTGTTGTTTGAATACATCTGATCCAGCAGCTTTGTACTTTTTGTTTCTTATATTACAGTTTTTCATTGTTTGTTTCAAAATAAACATATAGTAATTTGCTTAAATAGTTATATTCCTTCTTAAACTGTTTACCAAAATTATAATTATATCAATTGTTAACTAACTATTAACAATTATTAACATATCAAATCCATCATAATATGAGCTTGCTATAGCTTGCACATATATATCTACTTCTACAATACAACAGTCGTTCACGACAAAGCCTTCATTAAGATCATTCGCCTTAGCAAGCTCAATAAAAAAAGGCCATCCCCAGCTAAGATTTCCAGCTGAAAACCAAAAAGAATCTACAACACAAGAATGACATTATTTATACCAAAACCGCGTGAGAATAAAGAAAAGAATTTTCACTGAAGAATGATCATGACGAAAGATTTAATTTGGAAATTTCAAGGGCTTATAATGACTTACAAGAAAAACTTGTGTGTTTAAATCTACTAAGTTGATTCTTCATGCAGATTGTAACATGCATGTACAATCGTTCATTGTTATTTTCCTTTGGAATATACTGTAAGAAGATAGATAAGCAGCGTCCGCTAGCTTCTCCATTTCCATTTGGATCCAAGTTAATTTTCCTGCACAAAAATACACTTACCAAACACACAATTGTCGTCGTGGCTAAGGTATCCATTGTGAGAATCGTTAAGTGCTTTCTTGGAAATAAACTTAGAGAAGCCCCATTATGCCTTCATTGCAAGAAAACGCCGACTTCTTCCTGAAAAAAAAAAAAGATTATCTACTTTAAAAATTATCTAATGACCACAAATTAGTTAATTCCTATGAGGACTAGAAAATTAATTTATTACCTAGTGAATAGCGATAATTTTCGGTAATCCGATTAAACAGGCATATCGAGAAAACTGCATTCACCTCCCAGCCTGCAGGAAAGCCACCAGCATTCACAATGGCTAAGTCTACCGAAACATAACCTTCGTCTCGTTCTTTTCCACATGGGTAAATTCGTCATTCACAATGACGATTTTTTTTTTTTCTGACGAGATGAGAGTTGATTGGGGGAGTCTTTGTTTTTTGGGTTATTTATAGTGGTAATAGACAACTTTTTTTTTTTGGAAAATTTGGAAATAAAATATAAGACGTCTCTTATAAGTAAATGAGATATTATTTTAGAAATTAATTTCAAAATATTTAATTAGGTCTCAAAATATCACACAGTTTCCTGTAATATATGATATGTGAAAACAAAATGGTGAAAACATGACTGATGCATTCATAAGAGAAGAAGATAAGGTATCCATTTTCAGCTAAGGTTTTTGCTTCAATCAAGGAGACAATACAATACTCAATGCTGCTAGGGTTAAGTAGCAGTTATACTTGCAGGACAAGCCTTGCTTTCTCTCACTTACACGCATTACATGTTATACTTGCAGGACAAGCCTTGCTTTCTCTCACTTACACACAATACATGTTCATTACAGACCACAAGATTATTACACGTGCATGCATCCTAAGCCTTCATGTGAAGCTGCATGGGTCCACAATGCCTCAGGGGCAAGCTGGTCATTTCTTGGGCATGAAGACGAGACATCTGACTGGTGAGATGATGTGGAACAAGTCTTGACTTTAGTCCAATGTTCAACACGCCCCCTCAATTCGAGTGAGCTCAGGGGCACCACATGCAATCTATTTCTGAGACGAGAGAAGGATTGAAAGCTCAATGGCTTAGTCATGATGTCTGCCACTTGGTCATGAGAGGGAACATGATTAACTGCTATGCTTTTGGCTTCTATCTTTTCTCTAACAAAGTGAATATCGAATTCTATATGCTTAGTCCTTGCATGCAAGATAGGATTTGTGGCAAGATAAATGGTACTGGGATTATCCACCCAAACTGTAGGGATTGAGGAGCTTTTGATGTTCAACTCCTTCATGAGGGATTGCAGTCAAGTGATCTCAGCTACATTGTGTGCAAGACTTCTGTGTTCTGACTCAGTGCTAGATCTAGAAATGGAATTTTTCTTTTTGGCTGACCAAGAGATCAAGCTTCCATCAAGAAACACACAAGAGCATGTCATTGATTTTCTGTCATCACAGTCTCCTGCCCAATATGAATCTAAGAATCCGGTTAAGTTGAGGTGTCTAGACTTCATAATGTGCAAGCCATAGTCAATTGTGCAAGCTAAGTACCTTAGGATTCTTGTAACTGCCTTCCAATGGGTGGTTAGAGGAGATGACATGAATTGACTTACCTTGGTAACTGAGAAACTGATTTCAGGCCTTGTGATAGTGGCATACTTCAAAGCTCCAACAATTTCCCTATACAGTGTTGCATCCACACCAGATTCTCCTTCAAATTTAGATAAGTGCAAAGATGAAACCATGGGTGTAGGACAGCCTTTGGCCTGTGACATATTTATTCTTCCCAGAACCTGCTTGCTGTAACTGGATTGGCTCAAATGCAGCCCTTGTAAAGTCTTTTTTACTTCTATGCCAAGGAAATGTTAAACCTGTCCCAGATTCTTAAGAGAGAAGGTTTTCTTTAGTCTCATAATTACTCTCTCAATTTTTTTTGAATTACTCCCAGTCACAAGAATATCATCAACATAGATTAACAAGTATGTCATCTCTCCCTTTTCATTAAGAACAAATAGAGAAGTATCTGCTCTGGAGTTTTTGAAATTCAAGGCCATCAATACTGACTTAATTTTGGTAAAACAAGTCCTTGAGGCTTGTTTCAAACCATATAGAGCTTTGGATAACTTACAGATAATGTGATCACATTCCTTTTCAAAACCATATGGCTGTCTCATGTAGATGTCATCTTCAAGTTCTCCATTCAAGAATACATTATCCACATCAATGTGAAGAATAGGCCAAGAATGAAATGTTGCTATTGTCATAACAACTCTGATTGTGGTAGGCTTGACCACAGGACTGAAGGTGTCAGTAAAGTCAAATCCAAGAGCTTGAGAAAAGCCTTGTGCAACAAGCCTTGCCTTGTACCTAGACACACTCCCATATGAGTTCCTCTTCACTTTATAAACCCATTTATTCCAACCAAATTATTTCCTTCAGGTACAATGGTTAGACTCCAAGTCTTATTTCTAATAAGAGCATTATATTCTTCCTCCATAGCTCTCATCCACTTTTCATCTTGCATGGCCTCTTCACCTGTGTTAGGTTCTATTTCTTAAGTCTCAGCATTATAAACCTTGGGCTTGTAGGTCCCAACCTTTGCTCTTGTTATCATGGGGTGCAGATTTCTTGCTTGTTGTGGTGCCTGCACTTGAGGAGATTCTCCTTGGTCTTGAGAAATTTGTAAGTCCACAACTAAGGGAATTGTGGAGTGACTTGAGTTTCCTCTTGGATTTCTTAGAGCTTGCTGATCACTCTTGCTATTGCTTGGTGTCAATTGTTCTTCAACAGACTGATGTGGAGTTGATTGAACTTCTTGCTCTAAGTTTCTTTGATGAGATTGTTGGAAAAATCTTTCAAGAGCAGGTAAGTAATAGGAGGTGTAACATGGTTAGAAGACTTATTCTGTTCTTCTTTTTCTTTGTAAGGGAAAATGTTCTCATCAAAAACCACATCTCTAGTAATGATTATTTTTCCTGTTTGTAGCATTACTTTGTAGCCTTTGTATTGAGGACTGTACCCCAAAAAGACAATGGGTTGAGATCTGAACTCTAGCTTGTGCTTGTTGATGGGTCTGGTTTGTGGATAACATAAACAACCAAAGACTTGAAACAAGGAATAATCAAGTTTTCTTTGAAACATCAGCTCAAAAGGTGACAAGAAGTTTAGTCCTTTGGCTGGTATCATGTTAATGATATAAGCTGCAGTCACAAATGCATCATCCCAAAACCTGACATGCAATGTTGAATGGTGCAATAAGGCCAAACCCATCTCAGTTAAGTGCCTATGTTTTCTTTCTGCCACCCTATTTTGTTGGGGTGTGTAGGGACATGAGATTCTGTGCTCAATTCCACATTCTTGAAAAATCTTAGAAAGAGTTTTATATTTTGTACCACCATCAGATTGAACTCTCTTAATCTTAGCATTTAATTGGTTCTCTGCTAGATTTTTGAAGTGAACAAAGGCTCCATGAACATCATTTTTTATCTTAAGTAAGTATAGACAAGTAAACCTACTATAATGATCAACAAACACAACATAGTAGGTGTATCCATTTGTTTATTTAACTGGTGCTGGCCCCCAAAGGTCAGTGTGAACAAGATCAAGAGGAGAATTATAAGTATTGTCTGACAAAGGAAAGGGAAGTTTGTGACTTTTTGAAACTGAACAAGAAACACACAATCAAGAATTTTCATTAACAAAATAAGGGTGATTACATGCCTTAAGAGCCTTTTGAACAATGTCTAAGCTAGCATGACCTATCTTTGGTGCCAAAGTTCTAGACTAGGGATCTTATTGAAAGCGACATAATTGATTGAAGGACTTCTGCAACTCAAGGAGGATAAGCTGAGAGGATGCTGCTGGCTTGAAACTAGTTGAAGGTTGAAGAGATAGAGACCATCCTTAACAGTCCCTTTGAGAAGAATGGCTTGAGTGGTTTGATCCTTGACAAGAAAAAATGAAGGGTGAAATTCAAAATACACATCATTGTCAAGGGCAAATTTTGAAACACTGATAAGATTTTTAGTTATAGAGGGTACATGCAGAAGTTCATTAAGTTGGAATGCTTTGCTATTATTTGAAGTCTTAAGAAGGCCATTACCAATGTGGTTAATTGAGACTCTTATTCCACTTCCAACCTGAAGTCTGTTCTGGCCATTGTACTCTGAGGCTATGCTCATATTAGAAAGCTCATTGGTAACATGTGCTGAGGCTCCTGAATCAGGGTACCAAACACTCTCA